CACTGTCGTCACTCCTCCTTTTATCCTTCCGGAGCTCCTCCGTGGGACTCGAGACCGATGAGTGGCGCAGGTGTCGAGCATTAGCATTTACTCCACTGGCCTCGCTCCGTTCCCATGGCTCTCGGCCCCGCCCTTCTCGTCACAAATATGTATAAACGTATAAATGTTGTCTTTTTTGTAGCTTAACAGACATGATTACTATTGATTTACATAAAATTAAAAGCTAGAGTAAATGTGCAATTCATGGCCCCTGTTGGGAGTGAGAATAGAATTGCTTCATATTGGCCTGTGCCAGCGCTTAAGGTTAATTTTATTAATTGAGTTTTAATTGAAAAAGTCAGTAATTGACGGCTGCTCTCTCATTAGACTTATCTAGTTTACCAGCGGTGACAAATTTCTAATCTACCAGCCTCATAAAGGGTGGGCTAATCCCACCGAGTCCTTTCAATTACTTTGCTGCAGTGTTAATTTCACAGTTTGCTGACCTCTGAAGCAATCTTAGAAAATTTAGTTAAGCATTCGCGCGATTATTCCCTGTGTTCAGAGCAACACTGCAAATGTCTTACACTTCACTGTGAGGGTGTGTAGTCAACTCTCTCCGATACTGTCCCGTAATGAACTGGCCGTTTGGCTCGTAGAATGAGTTCAAAATGAGTTCAAAAATCGACAAGCTGTCAGGCTGATGGAGAAATGTGAGGTTTAGCTGACCCTCCATCTTTTAAAATGCTGAAGTGATTGTTTCTCAGAGATGTTTCTCATTGTGCACATTATTTTCAGTCAGTTTGGTGTCCTGTGAGGTTCACGGGTCAAGCGCGTGAGCCCAGGTGAAGGAAATGGCAGAGGGTTGTTAGTACAGTGGCTCTCAGTTAGACGCAGTCAGACAGGTCTACAAAGGACTTCTTCAGCACTGTGTCCCATCACCGATTGGCCCAGAGAACAGAGGTTTCTCACACGGCCTGTGAGCGGGAAGCAGAGCACTGTTAAACACATTGACTCCACCTCACCTCACCTTACCTTACTGCGGAGGCTACTTTTAGACCTGGAGTCATAGCTAGCTACTGCTGTGCGCAGGCTTTTCCACTTGCCTTTGTGATAAAGAACCAGCAGGACTCATGTGGAGCCTCTTAATTGACTCAGATGTTGAACTAGATTTGTTGCGCCAAGTTCACACGTACTCGGTCTGCAGTGCATATACGGTAAGTGTATGTGGTGCAAAAGCAGCACAGACTCATTTTACTTTCACACAGGAAGCGTTTGCAGTCCGCTCCTGATCTGCGGCTGTTTACCACAAACACAACATTCATCCATTATTTTGATTTCAAATCCAAACGTTGTTTCTTGAAAATGCCTTTTCAGCATTGCGATTCTTTTTTATCACAGTACAGTAATACAATCTTTCATAGACATATTCACGTTTAAACTCAATAAATATAACTTTGTTTATCTACCATCGAGTGCCATCTATTATTGCCTTGTTTATCTAAAAGTGCACTTTTCCTTGTTTTAAATCTAGCCAAAAAGCCATGTGTTGACTGTGAAACAGTAGACTTTAATTATATGCATTTATGGTGTAATTACTAAATTTCCGTGTCAATCCATGTTAATTTTTTACCGCGAATCACTTTAATTCAGCGCGTGCAGCACAGCAGAAATAGACTCCGTGCAGAAACGATTGCAGCATGACTGCTGCAGACACACCGCTCCTGGAGCACACTGCCGGACCGCAATCGCGTGCAGTGTGAACGCTCTGATCTGTTAACATGGGCGTGGAAAAAATACGTACCACAGACGGAGTGTGTGAACCTGGCGTTACGTTTGTATGCCTGACCGGTCTGTTCTGTTCACGTGCTCCATTTAGGCACGCTGCATTCTGATTGGTTCGGATAACATACTGCGGGAGGTCGGGGCGAAGAAAATCGTGCTATAAAGTGATTTAGAAATCGTGCAAGCTCAAATCGCGATTTTATGATGATTTGATTTCGATTAATCGCACAGCCCTACTTTAGAGTAAATATTTCTAGATTTTACTTTGGACATTTGAGTGATGACCCAACACGGCTTGCAAAATAGTTTATTGTACAAAAGTGTTATTTATTAATATAAATAATGTTATAATAATAAAAACAACATTTTTATATTGAAATGCTAATATTGTAATATTAATTTTATATAATATTGCTAATATAATTATTTTTATTATTTAAATATATAATTCTATTAATAATATGTAATTAATATTATATGTGTGTATATTTAAGATAGATAGATTGTTTCATTTTTTTTATTTTTTATTTATGGCATAATTTGAGCTAAAGAAGCACAATATATGATATCATGATTTATTAGATCATTAATTCCTGATTTGAAATGTGAAAAGTAGTTCGGACAAACACTTTGATTCTGGTCTTTCTCCATTAATATAGACAGGAGCTGTAGTTGCATGACTAGAAATAGCTGCCCAGGGGCGTTACCAATATGGCCACAGAGTGAACTAAGTCGCCTTAAAGGGACCTTGCAAAGTTTTTGTTCATGAAGAGTTTTGTTCATTTTGGTTTTGGAGATCGGGGCATGTCACACAACCTGTCCGTGTTGGCATCTGACAAATTTGACTAACTTTCACCAAGTAGCAAATTCATTTGTGTTAAATATAGTTAGGTTTGATGTCCTTTAATGTCAGCAACAAAAAATAAGAGAAGCATTTTCTTATATAGTTAGTTTATGGTTTCATTATTTGCATTTAGCATTTTTTTTTCACCTACTGTACTCAACCCGATTAGACTGCAGCTCATTTTTGTGTCACAACCCTCCCAGATATAAGAACCACTGGTGTATTATGTTGAGTGCTCATTGCAGTGTGTTAATGCATTTCATTGACTTTGTACATTGATTTCTCCGGTTTGTGTTTACAGAACCAGTAGCATTCTCAGCAGAGACCCCCCTCCCGACAAGAGGCCCAAAAGCGATAAGCTGCCTGGTACCCCTACACACGAGTTTGACCCTACAGGTAAATTTAGTTTGAGAGTTTCTTTCACACTTACTTTCTCTACTCATACAGAATCGTAGTGTTTAGCTGTACTAAAGGCTGTCCTGACTGCTCATGTGTGCGTGTGCTGTGGACTGAAGCACACTGCTCCTCTCACACAGTCTATTCAGACTCTAAAATGGAACCGTTTCCTCCACACACAGCACAGATGGAAGGCTGTGCCCGTCCACTAACTGCAGTGGAATGGCTTTAAACAGCGGCATGATTCATACTTGCTGGCCATAAAGGATGCACATGTTCCTGGCCCCGGTTTTGGCAGTTGAAAGACATTGTCAGTGTGTTTTTCTTTCGAGTTTTGCCTCTGTTTTTCCTCTCAGCCCGCTGGTGAGAGTAGAGAAGGAAAAGCAGTCCTGTGCATGGCCATTAATGTGAGGTTTATGGTGGAGAACAATGTGATAATCGTATCGATTAAAATATGATTCACATTGTTTGGATGGGGAGATGTTTTCCTGTTTGATTGAAAGATGAGTGAGATGATGACAGAATTTCATCAGAAAAATCTTTTCAAAGATTTCTGAGCTATTCTGTAGCAGTTTTCACATGTGCATAGTTTTGTTTTATTGGTTTGACCTAACATAAATATCTCACTTTCACATGTTAGAGAGAATAGCGGTGAATGGAGGATATGATGCATGTTTATTTCTGATGTTCCTCTGGTGTTGGACTCGCCTCTTCTGATGCATGACTAAACCATCTTAACCACAGTGTGGCGTTTGGTGTCCTCTAGGGTTGGGTGATATAGCTAAAAATATGAAATATTTTTTCATTCTTTTGACAGTATTTGATATTGTATGTTTGTTTTGAATTGGCATAGTTTTTTTTTTTTCTCGACCAATCAGCCGTTGTTGTCTAGTATAGCGTTTCTCAACGGGGGCATTCGGATAGCATGGGGGGGCGCTGGAAGCAATATTTTTGAAAGGGGGGCATTTGGTTAAGGCGAGTTTACAGAACTGGATGCATCAAAGGGAATTTTCCATATCTATTTGTCCGGTTGTCGGTAGTGAAAGTGCGTGGAGTGCGTCAGAAATGCAACGCGGCATCCGTTTACTGTGAGCGACTTAGCTCGCGTTCGGTGACAGAATCCTATGTGCTTTGATGCAACGTGTCGCGCCGTTCGCGTGCGGTGTATAGAGTTATCTGCCAGCTTACACCAATGCTACTAGACTAGACCAGGGGTTTTCAACCTGTGGGGCACCAGCACCTGTCAAGGGGGGCGAGAGCATCAGTTAATTCAGAGACGTTCCCTTGAGAATTTATGAATATGAGTTAACAAATCTTTAGCCATCCACTAGGGGGCAATCTGACTCCCACTGCTAGTCGACAGTTAGAGCAGAGTCACTCAGTGTTGCCAAGTCCGCGGTTTTCACGCGGAATTGGGCTACTTTAACACTTGCCGCGTTTTG